TATATATATATATATATGTAACGGATATAATAGGTAGGCATATGTATGAGTATACAGAGGTAGCTAGTCTCCAAAATGGTCTCCAGTGAGTCTAGCCTCTTCACATTTAAGTCTTGACTGACACAGAATGTGGCTGTTGTTGTTGTTGTTATGTGCCGTCGAGTCGGCCCCGACTCATAGCGACCCCTTCTTGGGTTGCTGAGGCAGTATCAGTACAGAAGTAGATTGCCCAACCTTCCTTCCGAGGAGTGGCTGGTGTGTTTGAACCGCCAGCCTTCTGGTTAGCAGTCAAGTGCCTTAGGCACTACGCCACCAGAGCTCCCTACGGAATGTGGCAGACCTGTGGAATTAATAGGCTATTTCAGGAAAGATGGAGTGTGACTCGAAAGCTTGGTCATAAAAGACACTGTAGCTTCCACCTTGCTTTCTCTTGGATCAATCACTCTAGAGAAAACCAACTGACATGTTAGGAAGACACTCATACATCTCTATGGAAAGGTCCACATAGAGAAGAACTGAGGCCTCCTGACCACAGCTAGCTTTAATTTCCCATCCATGTGAGGGATCCATTTTGAAAGTGGATCCTCCAACCCTAATCAAGACGTCACATGACTGCAGCCTGATATCTTGACTACAACTTCATAAGGAATCCTGAGCTAAAACCCAGCTAATCTACTCTCAAATTTCTGACCCAAGAGATTAGGAAAGATAAAACACTGCCAATTAAACCACAAATGACAATGAATATAAGAAGCAACCCAATTTCAAAGATGTGAGAAAATAAGCATTTTTGAATTGATGAAACAGGATGATGATGACGATTGTCATTGTTGTTTTTTCCATATAATCTCTATGAGGGCAGAAACTTATGTTGGTTTGGTTAACTGCTATAGCTCTAATTACTAGAAGAGGATCTAGCACATGGCAAATACTTAATAAAATAGTTGCTGAATGAATGAATAAAATTAACTTGGACAAGGCATATTGTTTATATGCAATAAAACTGGGATTCAGACCTAGGTCTCTGATTCTAAAGCTTTTGCTCTTTTTACTGCCCAACATTGCTCCACTCATTCTTTAGACCCTCATTTGATTTTCACTCAATCTCTATAATTGTTATCTGAATAATAATAGCTAATGCCCATAGAACTGCTACCACATCCAGAATTGTTCTAAGCACATTGCATGTATGAGCTAATCTTCAAACACCATGTGGTTGTGGTTGTTGTTGTTAGATGCCATCAAGTTGGTTCAGACTAATAGCAACCTTACATACAATAGAATGAAACACTGCCCAGTCCTGCATTCATCCTTAAAATCATTGCTTTGTTTGAGCCCATTGTTGCAGTCACTGTCAATCCAACTCATTGAGGGTCTTC